CTATGGGGAGCCATTGTAACTACTAAGCCCGATGGGCGTCCCTCGGTGGATGGCAATGCCGCCGTGAAAGATGCGTACTTAACACCTGGTGGGATTGCGCCAAGAGCCGCCCATTGAACGATTTCCTTGATCGGCTGCCCTAGTTAACCTCCTGAAGCATCTACGGACCCCCCCCCCGTTATCTTAGCACCGCACAACAGATAAATTGTCGAGCGCGGTTTAAGCGAATTGATAACTTTAGCACCGCGCCGAACACAAAAAAACAAAACAAAAAAAGGCGTGTTTTCAAAATCGATGTTTCGCTTTGGCGCCGCGCACATTCGCTTTCAAAACGACACGACTTAAACGGATTGAGGGCGGATCGGTTTCAAACTATACCTCTCGCCTTAGCGCCGCGCGCACTCGTTTGTTTCATTTGTATGTGCACGAGCTTCACGGATTGAGGGCGACTCGGTTTTAAAATGTTACTCTCGTCTTAGCGCCGAGCACATTAGCTATCAAAATGCATGGATGTCACGGATTGAGGGCGGCTCGGTTTCAAAATATAGCTCTAACCGTAGAGCCGCCCACATTGGTTTTTGTTTATAAACATGTGCACGAAGTTTCACGGATTGAAGTCGGCTCGTGTTCTAAATCTAGCTCTCACCTTAGCGCCGCGCACACTCGCTTTAAAATTTGTGCAAGAATTTCACGGATTGAGGGCGCCTCGGTTTCAAAATATGACTCTCGCCTTAACGCCGCACACACTAGCTATAAAACATTGCACGAATTTCACGAATTTGTGGGCGGCTCCGTTTAGAGATATAGCTCTAGCCTTAGCGCGGCGCACATCCGTGAAACACATTTTGAAAAATACCGCCCTCCATCCGTGAAACGCTTGCAACTGTTTGAAGCGAATGTGCGGGGCCTTAAAACGGGAGCCACAAACGGCCTCCACCCGTGAAACTCTTGCAAAATTTTGAAGCGAATGCGCGCGGCGCTAAGGCGATAGCCACATCATCCTTGCGCTCCTGGGATAACGCTTCCGGTGCGGGATAAGCGTTATCCTTGTGCCAGAAGGGGGGGTTCTTCAATGCGGGATGAGGCTACGCAGGAAGAAAAATGTTCCTCTTGCGCTGAAAATGGCGATGAGGAGTTCACGAGGTAACATCGGCACCGCCGAACTGAAGGCGTCTGGACGAGCTGCGCGCAGCAACCGGGAGGAGAGAGATGTATGCATGTTGAATGGGGCCTGGACGCGCGGAAAGTTGATGGGACTGCGCAAGACAGCGCAGAACCCATCTTGGGAGGTTGATGACAAAACCCCCCTCCCCCGTTGAGTCTTCACACAGGCGGGTTCCGGGGTCCGCGGATCCTGTTTCTTCTGGTTCCCCGCTTTTATTTTCGTATTTAATTCATATTTCAAACGGGATAGAAATCGGATCCGCCGTGAAAAAAAAAAACGGACGCGGATCCAGAAAATCCGAAATCAGATCCGTGCGGACGGAAATCGGATCCACCGAAACAGAAAGCAAAACCAAAATTGGATCCGCGCGAACTGAATTGAATCCCACGGCGGTTATCTCATACACGTCTGCTCAAAACTTCAAGCCGTCGTTCCGGGCCCACCTTCAAACTTCAAACCTCAATAGGAAAAAAATCGTCCTGGGGATATACCGTACTGTTAAGGGTTTTGAAGACTTCGTCGGGATCTAGCTGCCGACATGGATGCGTGCGCTCACCGAGACTCCGAGATCGTGCCGTCAGCGGCGGGTTTAATTGCGAATTCATCCCCTTGTGAGAGCCAGCCTACCGACCGTCCATTGATACAACGACATCTCAAGGTAACTCACCGTGTTGGGCACCTGGCTTCTGAACAGTGGATTCCGAGCCCATGCTCCCATGCTGTTCAGTGTCTGCTTTCCGCCCGAATCACGGCCTTCCCCCAATAGTCGCCAAGGGAGCGGACCACACGAAGCAAAGCCTGCTGAGAAAGACCAGCGCACCGCCTGGAACTGCGCGCCCTGGTTGTGCGGGCTGAGCGTCTGCCCGCAACATCAACCCTCTCAAGACGAGACAGTAAGGACGGTCCACTCTGGCCTGGCACGACAATCGTTCAACGGACACCCGTCTCTGCTCTGCTGGCACACGCACCTCCCTCGCGTCCAAAGCTCTTCCTTCAGTCCACGACTGATACCCACCCACCCCCAGCACTCCACCTCCAGACTACTCCCACATCCTATCTGTTCGCCCCCTCGTGCTACTTTCATCCCCCGCCTGGAGATCCCCACACTCAGAGCGTGTGGAACCCCTGCAGCAGCCGCAGGCCCACGTTCATTACCTCATAGACCACCCTTCGGGTGATAAGGAGGTTGGGGGGTAATGTCATCTGTGATCTGCATTCGACACACAATCCAGCTCACGAATGGACACACATCGGGATACCAGCATGCACTCTCATAGAACCGGTATATTCCCCAAACAGTGCTGGCACTTTGGGGTTCTCACTTGTGCCACGAAGGACCTTCGGGCCGGGCGAAAGGGGGGGATAGCAAAGAAGGGGGGTGAGAATCAGCTCACGTAGCTGATGTTCCCGGCGCATCCCGGCGCCAGGAGGCGCCCACGTATCGAGGAATGGGCCCCGCGGCGGAGCCGAAACCAGCTGCATGCAGCAGATTTCGTAACCCCCCCTTTCCCTATCCCCCCCCCTTTCGTTCGGCCCGAGACCTGGATGGGTCCGCCGACGTTTCGCCGCGTGGCCGCCTGTGGCCGCCTTGTGGCCGCCTCGTTGCCGCCCACTTGGGGTGCGTCTGCCGAGGCTTCGCCGCGCCGCCGCCTCGTGGCCGCCCCGTGCCCGCCCCGTTGCCGCCCAGTGGGGGGGGGGGTCCGCCGTGGTCTCGCCGCGCCGCCGCCCGTGGCCGCTCTGCTGCCGCCTCGTTGCCGCCCACCTCGGGGGGGGTCCGCCGAGGTTCCGCCGCGTGGCCGCCCGTGGCCACCTCGTTGGCGCGCACCTGCGCTGCGCTTGCACTTCGGCGCTCCGGGTCCCCAAACAGAGGCTACACGTAGGGGGCGCGTCCTGTCACCAAGGAATGGACGGGGTCCGCCGAGGGTTCGCCACGCTGCCGCCCGCTGCCGCCCGTTGCCGCCTCGTTGCCATTCGGGGGGGTCCGCCGAGGATTCTCTACGTTGCCGCCCGTTTCCGCCTCGTGGCCTGTTGGGGGGTCCGCCGAGTTTTCCGCACATTGCCGCCCATTTTCGCCGTTGCCTCCCATTGCCGCCTCATTGCCGCTTGGAGGGTCCGCCAAGGATTCGCCGCACTGCCGCCCGTTGCCGCCCGGTGCCGGTTTTGAAGCGTGGGGGCAACCATCGGGACAACTGGTCGATATGCCTTTTTGTATAGATTGGCACATATCCATATATATATATATGTACACACATACGTGCGTTATCTGGTTTATGCCTTAAGGCCTGGTAGTCGCAAGCCTTATATATAGTTTATTCCTCGAGGCTTGGAACATGTCCGTCGCAAGTACACTAACATGCAAGGCTAAGCAGACGCGGAGGCCGCGCGCAGAGAACGGCAAACGCGAAGGTGCGCAAGAGGAGCCGTCACCTCCTGGCACACCCTATCGCTCGACCAAATGTGGTGTAAGCCTGGCCCACGGCTAGTGCATGGGAGTGGCCGGCGCGACGAGCGTCGCGCCCCTGCACATTGTCCAAAGAACCATGCTCTGTACACAGGGAGGGTGTGAGGCGCTTGAAGAATGATGGGGGAAGAACGCATGGCGTCCCAGCACTTCGTGCGCCTGCTGTCGCACAGGTGTGCAAGCAGGCGGAGCCTCGATCTGAAGTGGGTCTTGCACACTTGGCAAACGCCATCGGGCAGGCAGAAGATTCGCTGAAGTGCCTTGGTACCGTGCTTCGTGCGCATATGGGAGCGCAGAGCTCGAGACGTGGCAAATGCAAAGGAGTAATGGGAGCACTGGTGCGCTGTAACAAGCGCGTCGCGCGAAGGAACGGTGCCCGCCCCTAGGTCGCACGCGGACTCAACAAAGTATATACACTTGTATGCCTGGGACCATCGGGCTGGCCTGCGTACTATAACTTGCAGCCAGGGCCCAAAATCATTTGCCCGATCTGGGAGAGTGGAGCATAAGGCGGCCATGCGCCAAACGCACTTGAGGTCATCCAGAAGCTGTGAAACCCAAGGGACTGGCGGGTGGTCACAACTATGAGCGAGGAGGGCGCGGAGCTCAGGAGGACCGTGCCGGACGACGCGGCCAAGATACGCGAGCCGCTTCCGCATGAGGACGCAATCCACGGACGGAGCCTTGAGGAGCCGACGCACGTCGATGTCAGCCACACTCGGGCCGAACCTACATTCGCCAGCAAAGCGGCGCAGGCATCGCATGTACATGGTGTTCAGGACGCGCAAAGCAGCTAAGGACAGCACCCGGATGTGCATTTTGAAGAACAGCCTGGAGAACACCAGGGACTACATGAGGCTCCAAAGATCCAGGAGCGGGTAACCCTCGTTGCCGTAAACTCGCACGGCCAGCGGGCTGCACGCCTCTGCTGCCGACACCGCCCGGGCCCGAGTTTCGTGAACGTTGTTGCCTCCGACCTCGGCGATGCCCCCCAAGTGCATGTATTGGTGCACCACGGTGACGTGGCCGGAGGAGCCAGGTACCTTCAACCGGGAGAGCGCCCTGGGGTCCAATTCTCCTGGCGGCGTAATGGGCGGCTGCGTTGTGGCCCTTGTAGATGAGGCTGCATTCCGTCTTCCCTGGCTTCCAGTTGATTACGAAGCCCAGCAGGTCGAATACGGAATACGCTACACAACGACTCGAGGAGGACGTCGATGTTCCGATCTAGGATGGCGGGAGTCTTAGCGCAAAGCAGCAAACACTCGTCGTCCACGAACGCCACGTCGATGACGGGGACGGCGGAGTCGAGCGAGGGAGGGAGGACAGATCCTGCCCCCCCTTCAGCCGCTGGCGGGCGGCGATCAGCAGGGACGCCTCCAGGAGAGACGAAGTCAGGGCCAGGGTCGTGGATGCGCAACGTCGCGCCAGCCTTGAGCAGGGCGTCCCTCAGGAGCAGCAGGCCGACCGAGTACGATCCGTTGAAAATCGTACTGCCGTACTTGCAGCCTTGTTTACCCCCCAGGCGCACGCTGACCGCAGTGTCCACGTCGCCGTAGCTAAGCCAACTCTTGGAGTGCAGATTCTTGAGAAGGCGCACGATCTTTTCGGGAATACCCCACTGCTGCATGAGGGGCACGTGGACGGCGATGAACTCAACGATCCACTCCACCTGATGGGCGCGAAGACCCAGGCCCGCCAAGTAAGTGGACGGGTAGGCGCAGTCGTGAGGGATGCCGAGGACCAGTTCACGGATCGCCCTATCGAACGCCTTGCACAAATCCACGTAAAGAGGACGCGCGACACAAAGTCGGTCCCACGCTTGGAGACGGCGCCGTACTGGGACGGCGGCATGCCGGCCTCGTACGGCTCCTTCACGTCCTCGTTGAGGATATCCTCGAGGACCTTGCCCAGGTGGCTATCCAGGTGGATGCCACGGTACTCGTCACAGTCATTCCTGGGGCCCTTCCTCTTGTGGACGCCGACGACACGACTGCCAGGCCAAGCCGTTGGCCAGACCTCGGAGTCGACTACGCACTGGTACAGCTCCGAGAGCTTAACCGCCATAGCGCCGCCACCAGCGCGCAGCACTTCTGCTGAGATGCCGTCCCGACCTGTCCCGCGGTTGCTCTTCAAGCGGCCAAGGGCGCCTTCGACGCGAGCAGGGCCGATACGAACTTGATGATCAGCCATCGGCGGGGCGACAGGGATAGAGCGCAGCTCGTCCAGTGTCATGGGCGTGCCGTGGAACACATCGGTGAAGTGCTCAAGCCATCTCTGCTGCCGTTCCCCTTCGGACGTGGTGAGGGTGCCGTCTTTACGTAGAACGTGCGGCGGCTGCTGAGTGGTGAAGCGACCGCCGAGGGCACGGAGGATGGCAGACGTGGTGCGCGTGTCACCTCTGGCCTGGGCGTCGCGCGCTTCAAGGGTCTTGGCCTCGATGAACACGCGGCGATCTTCAGCGATAACGGGCTTGATCATGCGCCGGATCGCCGCGGCCGCACGCCACGCCATCGTGGAGGTGAGGCGGAGGACGTGGAGCCGGCGACGATCCTCGCCGCACCGCGCACCAGAGTGCCACCCGAGGCCGCCGCGTCGGCCACGGACCCGTCCGGGGACAGATGCGCTGGGGACGAGGCTGGCCCAGGCGTACATGGCCGCATGCAGGAGCGCCTGAACGGCGCGTGCCCCAGCAACGCTGGCAGCGCGGCGCAGCGGGGCTAGACCACGGAGAATGCGCCACGTAGGTGGTGATATCCAGGGCTTACGCGGGGTGTCTTTGAAGGAGCCGAACGACTTGAGGGCAGATGCATGGACGTAGTCGGTGAGTTCGGTCGCGTACTGCTCAGGGTCAGTGGCGTCCTGGAAACGGCGGCAACACTCCGCGTCGAAGCATTTCGCTTTGTTGATTCGCGGGGCCCGCCGAGGCCGGTCCGCATAGACGCCGTCGTGACCACTGACCTCGACGACGCTCATCACCATGCGGTGGTCTTCAGTCGGGGTGTAGGAGAGGACCGTCTCTGGGAGCACACGGGACTCCACCAAGCTGGAAAAGAGGTCGATGTCGAGGAGGGTGTAATCGATCCTGGCGGTGGTGCCGTGCTTGGAGCGCCAAGTGTAGCCGGCCTCGTAGAACGTATTGGCGGCCATCAGGGAGCACGCAACGAGGCGGCTCAGCAAGCGGTTGCCGTTGTCAGTGAACGGTTCGGGCTCGCACGGCCCGATCGCGTCGCCGTGGCCTTGGACGCGCCCGTTGGCGTCCAGTCCGGCCAGGACCACGTAGGCTGGGAACTGCGAGCGCAGGTTGAGCACAACCGCGGTGAGGGAGTCCCAGAAGTCGTCTTTGACCCGGGCGGTGCTGGCCTCAGTGGGAGCGTGGGCGCTGACCACCACGAGGCCGCGCTGCAATGTCACGGAATACCCCGCGACGGTCATCAGGCGGGGTGATACGTGGCGCACGCTCTTCGGGTGGAAGGTGAGACTGGTGGCAATCCACACCTGGCACCCGTACTGGCCGTCTGAGTCCGCACAGCCAGCATACATGCGGTAGTGGACGCCATCGTGGACATCACACTGCGGAGCACGGCCCTCCTGAATACAGACCACGTCCAGGGAGGAGCGGTGGAAGTCGAGCTCGAGCATCTGGACCTTGCCCAGCATGAGGGCGAAGGAACCACGTGTAGAGGCCAGGGTATGTTCACGTGGATAGAGGGTGGCAACGTTGACAGAGGCATGCAATCGGGTGGCCGGGCTGCTCGAGCCTGCCTCGTCGGCCCCCGATTTCATTAGTTTTTTGGCTTGGCCACGCTCTTGCGGACGGCCGTGAAACCATGGCCGAAGAGCGTGGACTGCTTGAGGGGCGGCTTCTTGGTGCTGTGGCGAAGCCAGGGGACCTCGATGAACTCCTCGTCGGAGACGTCGTCCTTGCGTGGTGGTTGCCCTGGAGCCGCCGTGGCACGGAAGCGCCGCGGGCGGCCTGAGCAAGCTCGATCTTCTGCTGGAAACCCTGGAGGAGCGCAGTCACCCGCTTGCCGGCAGCCTCGGTGTGGAGTGGGTTCACGTGGGAGTCGGTCTGCAGGGTGGCAACCCGCGACTGGAGCTGGGTGCCGATGGAGGCAGGCACGTCCTTGGGGCCGGAGGGGCTGTCCATGGCGACGTCTGCGGCCACGTCGCCCGCGGACTTGGTCGACTTCTCCAGCTCCTCGACGTTGGCCGTGAAGCTGGCGATCTCCATCTCCGAGGCCACGATGGCGGCCTGGGCAAGCTCGAGGGCCTTGGCGGCCTCGGCACGTCGAGCCTGCGCTCGGGCCGATGCCGCGCGAGCCTCGTCCAGCCGCGCCCCGAGCGGCTTGGAGTCGCGGATGGTGTTTCTCTGCATGTCGATGCTGTCCTGGAGAGCTGCCCTCGACGAGGCAAAGGCCGGACCCTCCGGCAGGGCATGGAGGGCCGCATCGAGGGACTGAATGTTCGCCTTGGCGCTCCGGGTGTCGGTAGGAGGCGACTGCGAGGGAGACGTCACAACAGGAGCCTCTGGAGCCTCGGGTACAGAACGAGTAAGCACCGCTGCAACTTGTTCGAGTTGAGCGCGAACTTGGTTGGTGGCCTTGGGGGCTGTCGCTTGAGAACCCCCCCTGTGGGGCCACCAGGCTGTAGGACCAGGGTTTGCTGTTCCCTGCACCAGTTCCAGCTTCCAGTTTCCACTGTTGCAGTTCTGCTTCTTGCTGCTTACTGTTCCTTGATGGACCGCGCGAGGGGGGGAGCCGAAAAGTGGCCTGGTTAGCGTCTCCTGGTGGGGTTCTCAGAATTTCTGGGGGGGGGGGGGGGGGGCGAAATTAGGCTTGAGACACATAAGAATTAGCCTGGCGAAGGACCCAACCATATGCAGTTGTGAGTACCGCACTTCTGAATATCTTCTTCGATGGCGCTCCCTATGGGGCCACGAAAAGCTATACTGGGTGGGTGAAACGCAGGGAGCAAGGGCCGTGTTGGGTGGTGGCGGACGCATGCGGGCGGTGCCACTGGCACCTTCGGTGGAGCCCCCTATGGGTCCACGAAACGCTGTACTGGGTGGGTGAAACGAAGGGAGAAATGGCTGTACTGGGTGGTGGCGGACGCATGCGGGCGGTGCCACTGGGACCTTCCGTGGAGCTCCCTATGGGGTCACGAAACGCTGTACTGGGTGGGTGAAACGCAGGGAGCAAGGGCTGTGCTGGATGGTGGCGGACGCATGCGGGCGGTGCCACTAGGACCTTCGGTGGAGCCCCCTTATGGGGCCACGAAACGCTGTACTGGGTGGGCGAAGCGCAGAGAGCAAGGGCCGTGTTGGGTGGTGGCGGACGCACGCGGGCGGTGCCACTGGGAGCAAAGGCCGTGTTGGGTGGTGGCGGACGCATGCGGGCGGTGCCACTGGAACCTTCCGTGGAGCTCCCCACGGGGCTACGAAACGCTGTACTGGGTGGGTGAAACGCAGGGAGCAAGGGCTGCGCTGGTTGGTGGCGGACGCATGCGGGCGGTCCCACTGGGGGCTTCGGTGGAGCTCCTTATGGGGCCACGAAACGCTGTACTGGGTGGGTGAAACGCAAGGAGCAACGGCTGTGCTGGGTGGTGGCGGACGCATGCGGGCGGTGCCAGTGGAACCTTCGGTGGAGCCCCCTATGGGGCCACGAAACGCTGTACTGGGTGGGTGAAACGCAGGGAGCAAGGGCCGTATTGGGTGGTGGCGGACGCATGCGGGCGGTGCCACTGGGACCTTCCGTGGAGCTCCCTATGGGGCCACGAAACGCTGTACTGGGCGGGTAAAACGCAAGGAGCAAGGGCTGTGCTGGGTGGTGGCGGACGCATGCGGGCGGTCCCACCGGGGGCTTCGGTGGAGCTCCCTGTGGGGCCACGAAACGCTGTGCTGGGTGGGTGAAACGCATGGAAGAAGGAGGAGGGAGGGGAGGAGGGGGAGGCGGGGGAGGAGGAGAGGAGAAGAGGAACGCGGGGACCGTCTCGTCAAAACGAGGACCCAACACCACAGGATGGTTGGGAAATACATTATATTCGCGCCCCCGAGGCCATAAACCCTCGTAAATTACGCAAGGTTCGCGTCCCTGAGGCCATAAGCCTTCGTGAATTACGCAATAGTCCCGAAGCCATAAACCCTCCCAAAATACTCCATATTCGTATCCCCGTACCCATAAACCCTCGTAAAATATACAATACTTGCGTCCCCAAGGCCACAAACGCTCGCAAATCACAGAATATGCGCGTCCCCGAAGCCATAAACCCTTGTAAATTACTTTATACTTGCGTCTCCGAAACCAGAAACACCCGCAAGTGGCGCAATATCTGCGACCCCGAAGCCATAAACCTTCGTAAATTACGCGATAATCGCGTGTCCGAAGCCAGAAACCCTTGAACATTACAGAATATTCGCGCCAAGGCCTCATGATTTCGCTTTGCATTGCCCATTCTCCGAGAGAGGGGGCCCGCGGCAAGGAGCGAAGCCCCTACGGATCCGGCCGCTCCCGCCCTGCGGTGTGGGCCGTGCGAGCCCTCTCTGACAGAGTGCTTGGCACAGTCTTTGGCCCTATTCGCCAGTGCCTGGCCAAAAACCTCCCTGAAATTCCCTCCGAGGGTGCCCCATTCTGCCGCCGGCCCCCCCCCCCCGACCTTCAGGTCTCGAACGGCCCGGGGACGGCCTCAGGGCGCCCCAAGCCGGTCCAAGAGAGTCCGGAGCAGTCCGCGAGAGCCTCCCAACGGTTCCGGATCGCTCCAAGAAGCCCAAGATGGCCTCCAGAAGGCCCAAGACGCCTCCAAGACGGCCCAAGAGGCCTCGAAGAGCACCCCTAAGAGAGCCCCAAGACGCAAAAAACATGTTTTTTTGAAAGATTTTCACGTTCTCGCCATTTCGGCTTACCCACGCTCCAAGACGGCCCAAGAGGCCCCCAAGATCGCCCCACGACGGCCAAACAAGCGTCCAAGAGGGCTCTAAGACAGCCCAAGAGGGCCCCAAGACGGCCGAAGACGCCCCCGGGATGGCCCAAGAGGGGCCCCAGGACGGCCCCAAGAGGGCGCACAGAAGGGGAACCCGAATGAACATTCCGAGCTCTCGGTGCCAGGAGGCCCCCAGGAGGCTCTAAGAGGCCCCCAGGAAGCCACCAAGAGGCCCCAAGAGGCCCCCAAGAGCCCCCAAGAGGGCCCCAAGAGGCTCCCAAGAAGCCCCCAGGAGGCCCCCAAGAGGCCCCTAAACTCCCCCGCAGAGGCCCCCCAGAGCCCTCTCGAGAGACCCAAGAAGCGTCCATGAGGACTCCGACCCAAAACCCAAGCGCGGTCGCGGGATGGGCCGACGGCCATTTGATAGCTGGCATACGCGCCGCATCACGACTTTCGATGCTGCGCACCACTTCGGCAAACTCCCAGGGAGCGGCCGGTGATGCGCCGCCGGCGTCCTCGATATACACACGTGTGAATTCCCTCTCCTATATTTGCCTACCTTTTGGAGCTCCTGGGCGCCAGCGCCGAAGGTCCCATAAGACCTCCGTGCTTTTGGGGGTCCCTGCCACGTCGTGCAAACGAGCCAGCGGTAGCAACCCCCAAGTGGGCCTCGAAATGCAAAACCTGTGCGTTTCCTATGGTTTTTTTGCGGTATTTTGGCATTATCGTTTTTTCGTGCCACCGACGCCCCAGGAAGGCCCAAAAGGCCCCCAACATCGCCCCAGGACAACCCAAGACGGCCCGAGAAGGCTCCAAGACGGGCGAGATGCCCCCACGATCCCTGAAGAAAGCCCCAACACGGACCTTCAGACCGCCACCAGGCGCGAGCCCTCCATCCCGAAAGGACCCACGAAACTGCCAACAGGCGCCCAAACGCCACAACCAGCGTTCACGAGGCCCCCAACAAGACCGAAAATCAACCAAAGGGGGCCGCAAGTTATCTCCCAAACCAGCAACATAGTTTCCGCGACGACCCCGAGACGCCTCCCCACAGACCCAAACACATCGAAGAGGCCTTCGACGTACGACCCCGCATTGGCGCCCTCGTCCAGCACTTCCACCAAATATGTCCGAATCCAAGTTTCGCGACGTTCCCTCCAGGCACGTGGGTAGGAGAAGGAGGAAGACGAGGAGGAGGAGGAAGACGAGGAGGAGGAAGACGAGGAGGAGGAGGGAGTAGGAGGATCGGGCAGCACCGAGGGGGATCACAACTGGGGGCGGTCACCACTTCCTTCGTGGACCGCAGAACGTAGAAGGGGAAGAGGACACGTCAGGGAAGGGTAGCGAATGGCATTATTATGAGGACGATGTCGGACAAGACCACGAGGAGTGATCGCCATTTTGTATGCTTTGCCTTCCTGTCCTTCCGCCAGCACTTCCGCCTGCATGCAAAACTTGAAGGGCCAATGTGTTTGGCGTTAAGCGCCAACGCTGATGGAGAAAAATCCATTTTTCCTCGAAGCTGAAACGGCTATTGCGCAAAGCAAAGTGAGAGTAAGAGAGAGAAGATAGAATACAGAAGAGTAGAGAGCATGATGGGGAGTAACTTCAACACCCCTCCTAACATGAAACTGGTGACTGTACACTACCAGTGACATGTTCTATACGCTCCTAATCATCTCTGTGGTTCAGAACCTCCCACGGGGCTCGCCGCGAGACCGTTCTTACTGCACACCACGAACATACACGAGCTATTACTTAGATGAGCTCCTTCTCGTTTCCCACATCATCCGTCTGAGCTAGAAGGTCCTCCTCCCCGTAGCCGCCCAAGCCGTGCGAAACCTTCAACGTTTTTGGATGACGTCCGGCCTCCTCCTTGAATCCCATGCCTCCCATAAAACGAACTATCAAAGCCTCCTCGACGTCCTTGGTCCCAAGATCAGCTAAGTTAGTTTTACCGTCTACTTTGTGCATCTGGATCTTCCCCTTTCCTACCTGGCGCTGTATCCACAAAAATGCCGCGTCCAAATGTCGCACCTTCCCGAGACCGATCCGGGAAGCGATCCCCTTGGAAGCTGTGCTGTCTGTCCGCAGACGGATCCGCAGCTCGTCGCCGAAGTCCCGGGCCATGGACTGCATGCCAAGAGAATGGCTCCCTCCTTTGACGTTCGCTACAAATTCCGCCTCTCCTGAGGACAGAGCTGGACTCGTCTGTGTAGCAGTCGAACATCGTAGGCAGTGATTGCCAATCATCACTACCGTGCAGCTCACAGACTTCCGGTCTGTTGGGTCTGACGCCCAATCAGAATCTGTCCTTACGTCAACATACCCCACAGGCTCCTGCATCTGGAACTGCTGAACCCACCGGGGGTGGCCCTTCAGGTAGCGCACCGCGCGCTTGAGCCGGTTCCAGTGGCCCACAGTGGGCTTACTCATCCCACGGGCCAGTCGATTTGCAGA